GAAGATAGGCTGTAGACAGTAGTGACATGATGGTAAGATTAGAAATAGGTATAAACTAAAACATGAGATGTATGCAACTTAACAACATTTAGTAGCCTTTGTGGTCCATAAATGTTACATGTTCTGCTTTTTGTTTTGCTAATGTACATATTCAGTATGTAGAAAATAAATTTCTTGAGAGATTTTAAGGATGAAGGTTTTCTTGTATAATTGACTCTTGAACTTGTTTGGTAAGCTTTTGGGATTATACTGTTAAAATAATTAAGACTGTTATTGAAACTTTATTGCATATGTATGACAAAAGAAAGAAGATCTAGAGGAATCTAGTGTGATTATCTAGAGGAAAAGTCCTACAGGAGATTGAAATTGAACATAGTAACTGTAATTATCTAAAAGGAAGTCTATTACAGTATGATAAAACTGTCAAAATAATGATTGAGAGCTCTAACAAGTTATGCAGAAGATCAATAAAGCTAATCTTACGTCATAGCTTGAGAATCTAGAAATTGTATTTTGACCTTAGTTCACAATAGAGCCATTCCAAACATATTTAATAAATGGGTCACAGTACTTTTTCTTAATTAAAAATTAAAATTGTTCCCAGTTGTTTTCTCCAGTGAAGTAGGGAATATGTTTCCAGTCTGCATGGTGTGCCTGTTATTTTACTGATTGCTTAATCTTTTTAGGGAATTCTTATTTGATTTTGATCTGTTCGTGTACAAAAATTTGGGGATTTTTCCATGTAATTTGCTTTATTTTCCATTCTATATAGGATCTATCCTCCATATAGTCTACAATATCTGAATGCCATCCAGTTGTGTGTTAAGCTGCATGGCTACATCTCCTGTTTTTCTCTTCTTTTCTCCAAAGGAGAAAGTGGTTTAGTGGGTATGCTGGCTTTGGCTGGGGTAGCACTAAATATTTTCAAGTGGATGTTTTTGGGGTTTTTTTGTTTGTTTTGTTTGGATTTTTTTAATTGCTGAGCAGGGATTAGACAGAGCCAAGGCCTTTTCTGCTTCTTGTACTGCCAGGCTGGTCAGGAAACTGGGGGTGCATGGGAGGCTGGGAGGAGACACACCTGGGACAGGTGACCCCAACTGACTAAAGTATATTCCAGACCATATGACATCAAGATCAATAAAATGAGAGGAAGAAGGAGGAAGGGGATACATTTGGAGTGATGGTCTTTGTCTTCCCAAATCACTGTTACCCATCATGGGTCCCTGCTTTCCAAGGGGTAGCTGAACGCCTGCCCATAAGAAACAATGAATTATTTCCTTGTTTTGCTTTCCCTGTTTTTCACTTTCCGTATTAAACTCTCTTTATCTCAGCCTGTGAGTTTTCTCACTTTTACCCTTCCAGTTCTTTCCCTGATCCTGCTGGTGTGGCAGTGAATGAGCAACTAGTCTATCATGATAGATTTAAAAAAACTTACTGACAATGTGTTTCTTCCAACTCTGCCCTCCAGCAGGCACTTACCAACAACCTTTACCCATTGATCTTTTGTGTCCCAAAGAAATTCATAAAAGAAATTTAAAAACACTTGTATTTGTTTTGTATCACTTCCAAAATGCTGATCCTTTTTTTGAGAATTGCTTGGTTTCCTTATAATTTTGAAAACTAACAGTAATAGATATCCAGCATTTTAACATCCTGTGACATCTTTGGCCCTGATAAACATCATGTGGTTATGGGTTTCATAAATGTGTCTTTGCATAGAAAAAAGGTTTAAATATAACTGCTTTCTTCAGAATTCCTATGAGTGTTCTGACACACAGCAGAAATGGTAAGCAGGCATTGTTCTTTTTGGTATTCCTTTTTTTTTTGTGTCTTCTAGAGTAAATGTTTAATTTCCCAAATTTTTTGTGTTTCTTTAGACCACCACTGATTTTTTTCTCTCTTGGAACTCCTAGTTCTCACAGTATACATTTTTGAGATAGGAGGACAGCAATCAGTGTAATAGTTGCCAATGAGTCTAAGCAGGAGTTATCCATTATGAGGAGTTTCTTAATATTTTCAAATCCATTTCTTCTTATTTAGTCTGATTAAAATCAATTGTTAGGGAATGCACAGGCATTCCCTGTGCATTGTTTTAGCTCATTTAGAGACTAGTAAAAATGTAATAATAACTTACCTGTTTCTTCCACCGTGCATTACTGCATATTATGATTCGGGAATATTTTGTGTCTTGGGCTCTGGTGTCTCTCAAGACATAACCTCCAAGTGCTAAGCCCCAGTTTCTTCACCTTTCAAAGACTGGAATTGCATAATTCAGATTAAATTTGCACTTGAAGTTGCAGTCCCAAGTATTTCTTTGGGAAATGCAACTCTGTCTATTCCCTATTTTTGTTTTCTTTCAGAAAGCTACAAACAACTTAAAATTGAAGTAATAGAAACAGCTTTTTGAAATAATTTGGAGTCCTTGGCAATACAATTAATCCCAAATTTAGTTACAAGACTGTAGAATTTCTTGCCTTTCTCAAACTCCCAAATCAGATTTCCATTTACTTTTCTGAAAAATTTTCTTCTTCCTGATTCAGGGCTGGTTCTCTTTTTTCTCAGTGCTTTCCCCTGCTGATCTCATGCGACAGAACTGTTTACTTGCATTGAGTATCAAAATTTGTTTGACTTACATTTAATTTTATGTTTCTTTTCAGATTAGTAAAACAATTCAGTTGACAGAATGAAGAGGCACATGTGTCACTTATAAAATCCTTTTTCTCAATCTGCTATTGAAGCATGTATTCATTTAGCCTTTTCTCTGAATTTCCATTGCTTTTCTGTCCATAAATTAAATGAGACCCCAGCCCTGAAAATACTTATGCAAGGCCATGATGTGTTTGACCTGAAGCTTGCAGTTATGTAGAGCTGCAGTTTTTCAATAGTTGCCAGTTTACTCAAATTCATCTCAGGATTGTAACCTGAGTTTGACATATTTGAATCCTGTATAACCTCTTCACTTAACTTTTGTTAGGTTCTTACAAAACGTTTTAAACAACCTGATTTACTAAGTGTCAACCTATGTCATACCACTGTTAACTTTTGTTGTGAGGAAATGGGCATGTATTTCTCTTGTTCACAGAGTTTAACCCTTGACAAGGCTTTGGGATTTTTCTCTGTTGTGTCTGTGTGACTAGTTTGTTTCCTTGGCTACTACTAATGAACTTCAACAAAGATTTTATACACCAATTCATTTTCTTTAATTTTCTTTTTTATGACATGCCCAAAAACTGCAAGAG